CAAAGATACACGCCACTGGCTTCAGATAGAGAAAATTGTCTGAAGTGGCATTCACAACAGATGATTCCTTGGACTAACTAGTCCATGGATCAAATATGGCTGATCCCACTTGAAGAAATGCAGCATTATCCCCTAATGGTCTCCCCACCAGCCACATGTGCCACATCCCTGCAGGGGCCTAGCAGTTAAATTTTGGGGCCACATTAATTCAGCTCTAATTGCTCTGCCCCAGCAGGGATGGAGTGTGTGGTAGTGTGTGGTAGGAAACCATTAGAGGATTGTGCGGCACTGCTTTCAAATGGGGTTGGCAATTAATATTTGATTTGTGGACTAGTTATTTCGAGGACCATCTGTTGTGAATGTCATGGTCTATAATAGTATATAAGGTCTACCAGTATATAATGCTGAAACAAAAGTGTAACTGGATAACAATAACACAGCTACATCTATAAGCAGCACTTAATTTGCCTGATACCTTGTCTCTCTTCCTCTTCTTTCCTCTTCTGCAGCAGAGCCTTTACTGCCTTAGGGTCTACTTTACTTCTTTCTAGCTTCTTAGGTGCAGAGAACTTGGTGGTCAAAAGTTTGGAGGCAGGCTATAATAAACAGTTGTAACTTGTACACAGTTGGTATTAAAGGACACAATTAATAATTTAAAAATAAATTTAAAAATAAATTAGTAAGAGTGTGGTTCATAACCCCCCGACCTCCCTCATTGGCTGGCATTACCTTATATTTAAGTCAAAATACGAGACACAGAATCTAAATTCAACAACATATTTTCACGTTGCCTGTTTGAGACAGGGCATTCCAGATACTCCGTGCTACGTATCGTAATTAACACTAACAGACACACATGATAGATGACAATACTAACCTTTCTGGTGGCCTCATGTTGATTATTTTCGGCTACAGATAAAATGGAACTAAAGTCCATCTTTAGCAGGTAAAACTTTTGAAAAATACTACTTATGGAAGTGTGTGCTCAGGATTTTTTAACGTAAGTGCAGTCAGCACTCATTGAAGCAGGCAGGAAGTGGCCATATTATGACGTCACAGGTAGCACCTGTCTCATCTCGTCTCATCTAACACATCTCTTTGTCAATCTGCGTACAACTTTCCGCTTTCTGTTAAAATTGATTTCGAGCGTCTATATTAATTACAAATAAAAACCTAAATCATGACTGGTAGTTGTGATTTACTTTTTAAAAATGAGTTAAAACATGTTTGGGGGAATTTTACTATTTTCTGAAATTGCAATTAGTTTTTATGTGAAATTTAGGATTTTTTTAAATAGTACAACCCTAATCTTTCCAAATTATTTTAAATATTTTGGCAATTGTGATATAGTTCTTGTCTTTATGTTTTAACTTAAAAGTCTGCTGAACTATGATTTAAATGGATTTAAATTTAAATTCATTTCTATAATTTATTATTATTATTTTCTTCAAGAGATCAATTAGAAATTTCTTTACGATTGATTTCAAAGCTTCCTTCACATTAACAAAATTCATAAAATGAAATTACTATATTAATTTCTATGCGAAATCTTACATGAACAGAAAATATGTCTTTTGCTAGGCAGAGAAGAGGGTCTGAAAATGGTGCTTTGGGATTTTTTTTTAGGATTGAATCTCATCAGAGTGACCAGCTAGTTGGGGATTAGGTATCTGTGAGCACACGATTTTTTTTTTTCATTTTTATTTTTTTGCATTTTAGTGCTTCTTCAATTTTATTTCATTAAATTGCGATATGTTGAAATATCATGATATGTTTACTTGTGTCCACATCTACTAGTAGTTGTGATTTACTTTCTATTGAGAAATAAGCCATGGGAATATCTGCTTGAAACTTGTTTTGCTTGTTTGATACACCGTCTAATTTTTTAATGGAAAATGTTCAACCAAACCAAACCAAAGAGCAATTTCAATTTTTAAAGTTACAATTATTCACTTCTTTGGCCTTCAGTTACACAGTCAGCTGTTGCTGCATCAGGCATCATCTCTCTCTGGTGTCTTTCACAATCCTGGATATAGTTACAGACCCATATATAGACATCCGGTCTTATATCCCCAGCAGGATTACTGCTTAAAGCTGACAAAACAGCTGCAGTGAAACTCTCAGTTCAGAGGGTACAGACAGAAACAGCTGCTAATTAACTAATAATAATACTAATCATAATAACAATAATAATAGTTTGAGCCCTGAATGATACATTGTGACATTTGGCAACCCTCAGCTTAATACAATCATATTGCCAATCATGCTATGCAATTATACAAAAAATTTGGTGAAATATGTAAAAATAGGAAATTATATTAAAAAAGAATGCAAAAGTTACAACCACTGTCTTGCTACATGGATTGTATGGGGTGACAGGTTCTTCCAAGTTTTTTTTCCTTTTTGTGGAGTCATTTGAACATGGCTGTCATGGTTTTGCAGTTTGTGCATTAAGGACTTCTAGTTTCTTTCAGCTAGGGGGGTAGGGGAGATGTACAAGTCCCTCTCAATTTCACCATTGTAATTGCCTACCTGATAATTGAAGTTTCAATAAAAACTACGTATTCAAACTGGATAGTATCAAAGAAATTTATTCACAACTGGTATCTTTTCATAACATTTTTCTACCTATGATAAGACAGGAGATTAGACATATTCTTACTGCATCATTAAGTTGGTCCCTTGTTCTAGCCATATAGGTTAAACACTCAAAATATGTTTAGAAATGAACTAAAGTCTCTTTGTATACCAGGTGCATCAGTTGCATATTGATATGTTTCTGTTCAATTTCTTCCACCTTTTATTACCAGAACTCATTCTTAGGACCAGTATTTCCAATTCTTTATCTACAGAATTCTCCAATACAATAAATGTGGATCACACGTGTTTATATAATTGTATAAATGATCACATCCCTCCACACAATTCTGTAAACATGTATATTCCAATAAGAACATCAGAATATATGTTGTTATTATGGCTCTACATCCTGAACAAACATCACCTTTTGTTCTTAAACTGACAAGCAACACTAGTTGTCCCCTAAGACCAAGCACCCTGGTGCTACATTGTATGGGAATATATATTTTATATATATATTAGAACTATTAGGATATTAATAACATACAGGATTTAAACTGTATATATACAAGTAAATCTGAATCTCAAATGCTTGCAAAGCATCTCACTTAAAAGCTCAAACTTACATAAAAGATGATAAAACTACTGCTACAAAAATAAACTGTGACAGCAAGAAATATGTACAATTCGTTGAATGCTGTTTAAGTATCCTGTATTAGATAAGTAGATTTTGATACCTTTATCAAATAAAAAGATATTAATCTCTTTTGTATTTACATAGAAAAAACATCAACAAAATGTTATAGAACTTGGTGCAAATGTGACCTGCATATGCCTACTGATATATACTATTCATCTTTTTAAATATTGCAAGTTGTAAATGACTCAAATGCTTTTTCTGATAGATGGTGCAGCAGAGACACAATCAACATTGATATCTCAAAACTGTCATACATGTACTTTAATGAAACACAACCATATGTATATGTTGCTATATTTTATGAGGTCACTGCCCTTTTCAGCTTGTGATCTTTGATCACACAGTTATTGGTGGTGGCACCTCTCTCACCAAATTTGTGCATATTAAATGCAACATCTAAAGTATACTTCTTAAATATTTTAGCACACATTGTTATTATGATAATCCAGTAAATTTACTCTTCATTAAAGAGCTTAACTTCATTTAACATTTTATAAAATTGTGAGGATTTTATGTACAAATAAAAAACCATAATTGTGATTTGATAGATAATATTCAAAATTAGAAGCAAATATTACACAAAACAGACTAATTATATATATATATATATACGTATTTTTGAGTTTTTCTGGTTCTCTAGATCACAAGCTCCATGTTAGGACATCCTATCTTGTACAATGAAACAACAATTACTTTGAACAGACAAGGTGCAGAGATGAAAATTACTTTCAAATTGTCCTTCATTTGCCAAATAAAATATAACCAGATCAGATCAGATCTCTAGTTAACTTCTAAGAAAATAACCCTTCTCAATCAATCCTTACACTTCCCAGTGGTGATAACTTTCACTTTGACACTGCTACCCATCACAATACAATTGTTAAAACAATACATTTTATCCACAATTTCTGTCATATGTTATGGCATAATCACACACTGTGTTATCTGTTATCTCTATCAAAGCTACCAAGAAACTAGGATTAAGATACAATTATGTCTGCCAGATATTAAAACCCTGCATAAGGGAACTATTTACAATCTTCACAGTCCTTTTTTTCCTTCAAATATCATTTTACATCTTGAGAGTAACATACTTTAAGAAAATACAATTATCTTTTCAAGACAAAATCTGTTATTCCTTACTTAACAAATCAAAGTGCCCATGTGTTTTATTATCCTAGACAAACAGGTAGAACTCCTGATGATTTCTGTGATAGCTCTATTAACATATATATACATAAAGACTTGAAGTCAACACGGGGACAGAAGCCAGATGAACACTGTTTGGCAGCAATGTTGCAGAGTGCATAATGATGACCAGTATTATCATAGAGAACTGTTTGATGTTCCGAGGTTCCCATTGCCTCCTCCTGGTCTGGGCCAACGTTAGTCCTGCTACAGGTGCTCTAGGTATATGGTGCTACTGTAGCATAAATGCCAACATATTTTGATTCTCAGAGGTCCTAGAAACAGAGAGAAAAGTAGATTTCATGAAATAATACCAACTGAGTCTGTATGAAGTAAGTTTTGTGTGAAAAATGAAAACAAACTTCAAAACTGGAAGATATGTGCATTGGTTGTGAAATAGTGGTTTGCGGGGTAAACAATAGGTGAAAACAATTTTTATAGAGGTTATCCATATGCTCACTACTTTCACTTGCCATCCTTTCTTTAAAATAAATTATGAGTGGTTCCTTAGCTATCCATTGTAATGAAGAATAATTTTCATGCAGTATACAACTACCTTTTTCTATTTTATTTAATAAAAGTATGTAGTTTTTAAAGCAATGATGGAATCTTTTGAGTATGTTACATTTCTTTTTTTTGAATCTTGACTTATAAGAAAACCAAAACACACATAATACTGTGAGACAGTGAAAAAAACATCATGAAAGTTGTATCTTAAATGCTCTCAAAAAGAAAAAAAACTTACCATACTTGGACTTCAACAGCTTCTGGAAAATTTCAGGTAATATTCCACATAGGTCACTGTGGTATGGGGTTCACAGGGGCTGTCAGAGGTCTTGGTCACTCGGAACTTGTAACTGCTCCACCAGAAGAACCCAACTGGAAGATCTACTTCATGGGTTCTTGTCTGCAGGCCAAGGAGGAAAATATATGTTATCAAATATCAAGTATTCTTTCAAACTCCTCTTAGCTCCATCATAAACTAGTTATGATAAATCTTAAAGCCGAAATATAACTATAATACTACATAAAAACACATTTTTTGTATACCTATTAATTATATGAAGCATGAAAATCAGTACCATGAGGCATACTTATGACAACTGTGAACTCACCGAGCTGTGAGGTGTCTCCTCTCTGGGCGTGGTTGGGGGGTCAGCCCCCTGACAGGAAGTGCTGTGGGAGGCAGGAAAGAGGCCACAGATGTGCATGAAAGTGGGCTCAGCAGTCCTGGAGAAAGAACAGAATAAGTGATTTAGGATTAGGATTCATCTTTAATTTCCAATACGCAAAATCAATCTGCTTGCCACTAGGAGTCAGTAAGCATGCTCATCCTCTTACAAATAGTCAAGACATGATGAATTTAAAGGACAGTATAAATCATCATCATTACTGACTTATCTTTTTCAATGTCAGTTCTGATTTCTTAAAAGCAAGGCATGGGAGTAAAATAGGGAGCATGTGAAAATGGCCTTTTTTCTGATATGTTAATTGCATGACAGGCTTCCAAAGATTTTATATCTATTAAAAATCTTCAATAACAATAATAAATATAAAACCTTTTATTTTCCTTAAAATAATATTGTGTATGAATTGTTGTTCAAGTAGTTTGCATGACCTAGTTATATAACAAGGCACAGACCTTTTATGCCTGTGCTGTTTTGAGCATCACTTCCACTCACAATTATATAAATTCAATCATAAAACTTGTACAAGAAAAAGTTTCAAGTAACTTTTAAGCTTTATTTCTAGATATACTGGATGGAGAGGCCTGACCCACCTGATGACCAGCTTGACGCTGTTATAACCAAAGTACTTGCTGATGGGAATGGTGTAGTTTAGCTGCCTGCTCCCCTGCCCACTCTGCTTGCAATTGTAGATACAATAGCGGTGGTCGATGGTGTAGTTTTGCTCTTGGTAAATGATCTGAATGCTGGCATTTTGGGTGCCTGCTGAAATACAGCACAAAATTAGTATAAATATGATTTTTTTAAACATACAATGTGGGATAATCCTGGTGGTGGGGGAAGTGGGAGGGGTGGTACATAGATGCTGTTTTAATGAATGTTTCCTTTTCTTTTACTAGCCTTTTATATTCTTTATTCACATGACTCTAAATAATAATAATAATAATAATAATAATAATAAAAATAAAAAACACTATGGCAATGTAAGAAACATCCCTCATGAGTTATTGATCATTATCTTACATGACCACTATTAATTGATCAAGTCGAAAAATACTGCTGGTTTTATTAACATAATTCATGATGTAATTGAGATCATAATTAACATCTCAAACAGCTTCTGTCAAAACAAGACTTAAGAAATCAACCAAACTGAAATTACAAGAGCACATACCTTTACTGAGATCGTCCAACTTGATGTCCTCTTCATCTCGCCGCCTGCGGTAGATAATATCGTTACTTTCGATCTGATCTGCAGGTGTGGTGGAAGCCATGTTGTACGCCTCATTGGGGTGACTGCCATGTCCAACATCATCCAACTTGGGACCTTCCTTTTCACTTTCTATATCAGGCTACATAAAAATAAAACAATAAAATATACCATTTAAATACTTAAATATGACCTGACAGAAATCACAAGATGGCTTATCTCTTTTACCCATATCCAATTACACATAGCCAATATATACAATTGCACATCTAGTATATAGAATTACACATATCTAGAATATCCAATTACACATAGTCAGTATCCAATCATCATTATATATAAGAAATCAGACATCAATCCATTAAGTAGTCAACATCTGGCTGGTGTTCTCACCTCCCTCTTGCCTGGTCTTTTAGGGATGTATCCTATAATAACAGGCCCAGTGTCATTCTTCTCTGCTGTACCTGGGATATGATCTGTAAGGACCAATATCAAAAGTATATAAGTTTGGGATCAAATCCATTTGGAGAAAGAAAAAAAAACTTTCCTACTAACATAGTATTCAATTGTGATAAAAATATTTTATTTTAAGAATTTAAGTACAAAATATTTCCTCTCCTTTAATAAACGCTTTACACAATTGACAATTTTTGCCTTTCAAAATTGCATGATTCTGTACCTAAATGTGGGTATATGGGTGTACTCACTGTATTTATAGAATTAATTAATTTACTTCATGTCTATATGACAAATATACAAAAAGCAAAGGCCCTCAATTAGTTAAATTTCACATTTCAAACACTGAGTGTATTATTTCCACATTCCACGTCACAGGCACAATGCCTTCGCAAGTTAGTTTCCAAGGTACGTCACCTGCATAAGTGAGCTTGTTGTTAGTCAGATAATAATCTTTGCACTGCAACATACAGACTAGAGGTGCTAACAGAGGTGCTCAGACTGCTTGGCTGTTAATGCCAGCTTATTCAGAATAAGAAAAGTTATGTCCCTATAATCTTTTTTTTTCATGCCTGAATATTTGGAGGATTTCCTTTCCCTTAGCTGGGAATTAAAGGAGCATTTCACTGATGAAAACAACATTTGAGGTTAGAATTTTTGTATAGCTCCTGGATGGCACAATGGTGTCATCCTGGGGCAGTTTTTTTTTTACCAAAGGTCCCAGCTCACAGGAGAGGAATCCCCATATGGTTAGTCATATTATGAACAGTATCAAGTCTTGAGTTATTCAGATCATGCACATACAAGATGGTGGCGTCCACGACTCAGGAACTACAATCACTCTAGGTGTCTGCGGCTTATCAGGCTGTTCTTCTAATGGCGGTGGGCAACAGTGTGCTTCACAGGCGCCAAACAATGTTGGATCGCTGCACCTTGCTGGTTCTATGGCCGGTGGATTAGGCAGAGATTTCGGCGTTGGTGATGTCGTCTTGGTTGTGGTTCCTGGTTGGTCAATGCAAAAAAATGCAAGGAATGCAAAGCATTAATGAAGGGGCATGCTCTCATAGTCAAGGAACAGGTGCTGTGCACAGAGCAAACTGTGAAGAAAGCAGTCAGGCAATGCAAGTCACGTCATGCACACACACAGTGGTCATCGTTCTGGTCTCTGACTTACTTGACTGATGGGTCACCTCACTCTGAGTGGTAGTTTTTACTGGTAATTGGACAGGATCGATTGGATCGTTTGGGCTGTCGAACTCACGACAACACATAGGTGAGGAGGCACAGAACAGACTAGCTGTAGGGCCTGAACACCCTGGGGGTGCCAGGATGGGGGCATCAGGGGCAGGGGAGGGAGGAGGCAGTGTGGTGGGAAGCATGGATGCTAAATAAATAAACACAATTTATGAAATGATACACAAATAAATTATTTGAACAAAAATAAAAGCAACAAAAGCTATCTACTGTATTTTCAATATATCAGAAATAGCTCAAACTACTTCTTAAAACTTTGGGATATGAAAATTCATTATATTAAATTTAAACATAACCTCATATTCTGTTATACACAATTCTTTAAACTAAATGTCTAAATGTGGTATTCCGCTCAATCTGCAAAGTCTCTGGTCATGTGGTTAGCATGTGTATGACTTAAACATGTCAATTAACTAGCAAATTAAATAGTACAATTCCAGCATTCAAAATACGTAATATAAGAACAATTTGGAAAGAAAAGACATGGACAATATCACATATGACAGAGGAAAAATTCACAGTGGACATTCCTCCACAAGGCAGATTAAAAGGTAATAAGTTCTGATTGATTATTTTCTTTGAGGATTTGCATTTAAAGAATTTTTATCAAATGGGTTTCCAAAATAATGTTTCCAGAAATATACTTACTTGGTGAAGTGGCCTCAGTAGTGGTGCTGGTGGTAGTGGTGACTGCTCTTTGAGTTGATGTTGATATATACGGTGGGAGGCCTCCCCTGAAAAATAATTCATGAAATTTCTCAATAAAATTTCTGAAAAATTTGCACTTGCTGCAAATATAAGGCAAATAAAGCAAAAGCATGTATTACAAACCAACACAGTTCAAATAAGCAGAATGTATTTTGAACAGTTATACTTGAAAGTTTACTCAAAAGTTTACTTGAAGATGTATTAGATAATACTTTTATTTTCCTATCAATATTATTTCATAATTATTATTATTATTATTATGTGATAAGTGCACTTACCCTGTGTGTGTGGCTGATATAAGAGAGTGATGTGCTGCTGTTTCTTTATTTCTCTCCAGTATATACAATGTTGTGATAGAGACCAGGCTGAAAGAGGACAGATGAAAACATTGACACAGGGGAAAAAAAACAACCAGAGCAGTAAGACACAATAACCAGATATGCCACCTGCAGTGAAGTCCAGCCAGCAGGAGAGACGCTCTGAGAGACACTACATTTCTTTTTAATAAAATTACATTTCATTAAAAGTGATAAAGTACAGCTTTTTACCAATAAAAACAAATGAAAATAATTTGCAATAGGCTGTGCTTACTGCATAATTTTTTTTTTTTTTTTTTTTTTGCAAGCACAGGGATGAGACTGCCATTTAGTGAAAAAGTTGGAAAATATGGCATGGGAAATCCGCTGATGCTCGGAAAAATCTCATCCCTGAAGCATGATTTTTTTCAACATGAAAGCAATCTCTAAAAATCTGCCAATTCATCTTTTTTTCCTCCAACAAAATTTAACTGAAAATAGTGTTTCTAAATAATTTTAACATATTCTTCATAGATTTTTATGGAAAACCGTGAAAAATAATTTATTAATATAATCTAATTTAAATGTGCAGTTACCAGAAGGCCATCACCATGACCAGGACAATGACAGTAATCTGGATAAACCGGCTGCTGCACATCCCTTCCTGGTCTGCTGGCGTTCCATGAGGCAGGTGCTTGGTGTGTTGACGTTGGCGATGATGACTCTTTGGAAGAGTACTGCCACGACTGAAAATGGTGGAAGAGGCTTTATTTTATGATCTATTTATTGTATATAGAACAGAAACTGTAGAAAGGGAAAATGTCATAGCTAAATAATTTCAAACTAAAAAATGTTATGACTGTTAGAACCTACTAGTGCTAACCATGCTCCTTTGAATATCAATTATCACTTCTGTAAACCATTTAAATTAACTTAACTTCATTATATTTTCATGGAGACTTTATATTTTCAGAGCATGTCTACAAACCCTCTATTCTAAAAATACCCAGGACAGATATTTAAAGATGACATATTAGTTAAAATTTTACCATTCTCATAGTTCAAAATACTTTCAATGATAAGTTTTACAAGAGATGACCATAAGCATGACCACAGCGCAGCAGAATATAAAAACTGTCTAACTGAAGACCACAGCCTGTGTAAATGTCCTAAACAAAAAAGTACAATATTATATAGTTACTTTATTGTTAGATACAGTGTTATATAGTTACCTTATTGTACTGACTGTGGAGTAAGACTTGCCACTTGCTGTGGACTTGAGACTATCGTAGCGTTTTAATTTAGTCAGCTTTGTGTTGACTTTTTCAAGTTCATCAATCCTGTTTTCAAGATTATCTGTGAGTTTGCAGAGTTCCTTCACAGCACCAATGCCTTCCATGTAAATCCGATCCTGTAAAATACACAGCCAAAAGATACCATAAAAACAGTTCTACAGGACCTCTTAATAGGAATAAAATGATACAGTTGAGCACAGTTGTAAATGGAAAAAATGTCCACACAAACATTTTATAACACATCCACTATCACCTCTAACTTACATTTATCAGGAAAACAAAAACTAGGCAAATGTCTGATTTTCAATTACTTTGGTACAACAAACACAGGGCCTTACCTTATTCACAACCAAGAAACTTTCAATCTTCTCTCCATTGGGGAGCACCACATCCCCCGTGTCTTTCACGGCATCTGGCAGGACCTCCCTGACCTCCTGGGCCAGGACTCCCGTGTCATGGACATCTTCTGGAGACAAGCCCGCATGCTGGGCAAACTCATCTTGGTATCTGTACTTGTACACTTTCAGGTTCTGAACAGTCTTCAGTTGCTCTTTAGAGTCAACCTGAAATAGTACAAATAGAACCATGCTTCCATCATTTTGTGATAACACCCAACAGACTTTACTGGAACACATTTAATTTTAATCTGTCCATACCCCACTGAGATCAAAGTGAGAACTGTAAGGAAAATAAAAATATGAAAAACAGGCAGCTTTCCTTACCTCTTTGATATCAGTCTTAGCCCTCTTATCCGATGGCTGAATTATATGCCCTGTTAGCTTCACATTTCCATGAACCTGCAGTGCCTCCTCTGGGCGATCTGTGTTTATACCAACTCGCCCCTAGACAGAAAAAAAGATCAATGAATTATATTTTAACAAACACTAGCACCTGTCTTGTCCTATTTCCATCTAAATCCTTGATGAATGAAAAGTTTGGAGCATGTTAAGCCAGGACGTAATCAAATTCAGAAAATGCACAATGTAAACACAAGGTTTGCCAATAGTGTAGACATTCAGATAGTAAGCCATCTATGACGTAAAAAAGCCTTCAAAGAGCGAGGTTTTACTCACTGGGTGGTACACAGAGTCTGATGTATGACCCTTCTGCCATGTGACTTCCATGTCATTGTCAAACTGGCCAGGGTTGGATGCCTGGAATACACAAACAACTAAATACAACAATGCTGTCATAATATAAAATATCATTACATTTCAATTATAAAACTGTAAATTGTACCTAATGATTAAAACTACTGATCTAATGACCCAAGGTGAATCTTGGATGCAGTCTTGTTAGTGATTTTTTACACTGCACCTATTAAACTAAATGTGTTAGAAGTTCAGTAAGTTTTACTTACAGTGGAAGATCACTTAAAGCGAAAGTGAAAGGAAAAACCCTTCCACACTTTCAGCACAATCGGAGATAGCACGCAGATTTTAGTGCACTGCACTGCATCCAGTAGCCAGGTAAAGATTAATGAACTTCTAGAGCACCCTACAGATAAACTGACTTACACTCACCCTGACGATTATTCTTTCCGAGACGTGTGCTGCTACCATGTAGCTCTGGTCACCGCAATGAGCGTTCAACGCCACGACCAGCATAAAATATCTTTGGTCTGGGTTAGGCTTGCCTTTCTTTCTCATATTATTATTTGTAGTTTCACTGAAATGAAGCCTACCCACTGTTACCTTGGTGACCTGGTCTGGTGCCAATTCAACTCTGAAATGTGGACAGAAAAAGAGTTATTTGGGTGATTAAGACTGAGTATTACTAATATGGCTTAATTATATCTGTTTCACTGTGATCCCATGCTTTATACTCTGACCTCAACATTCTTCGAAAAAACTCTAAAAACATATTCACTGCATTCACATGTAACATAAGAAGTCTCCTTCATATAACTGCCAGCACACAACTTACTTAGACATATAACAGTATGAAATTAAATTGTCTACATAAATAATTTTAAATAAATCTAATTTGTACTACTCACTTTACTGGGTTGAAAGGCTTTTTACTCCTGTCTGACTGTGACTGCTCCACTTTGATGACCTGTGAAACTGACTCCATTTTGATGCCATGGAAATGTATTTGAAAGTTATCAATTTTCTTTGTCCCTTCAGGAGTTCTCACGTAAGCAGGTTTCCCTGACACTCCCACATGGACCGTGACTTGAAAGTGGTTTTTCTTCTGACACACAAAAGCATCATCAGGAACAGCAAAGTTGAACCCTTTGTCTGCATCTACTCTGTAGCTGGGCGTGGGTCTGGAAGCCAAACATAGTATTTAACACAGCTGTGTATACTAAATATTCCAGTTGACCTTATGAATGACCATACCAAAGAAGATTCACAAGGAAACAAATAAGGCATTTTTGCTAATCTTTTCAAACAATGAAGAAAGGCACCAAAGAGAAGAAAAGAAAATCTCATAGGTGTGCCTAAATGAAACTTTAAGAACAATGAAGGATTTAAAATACTCACAATTCTCTGAAATTGTCTTCCAGGAGTACCACCCATTTTGTGGGTTGAAATGCCTGCCATTTAATGACTTGGTATGTGCCATCTAAATACATATTGGGGTTGTCATAAGAGAAGTCCTGTGTGAAATCTTCTTCACAATCTGGTAAGACACCTAAAATTCAAAGTCAAATTCATTAATTTTTAATGATCAAATATCTTTTTACTGCTTCTCTGAATAGAAGTCCATCTTCACTTACTGCTATCTCTCTCAATCTAAGCACCAAATACTGCTCTAGTATCAGTATATATTTATACGAAGAAGAATACATAAGCATTATCATATTAAGCAAAGTAATGTGGTGAAGACCTTTTCTGAAGTAGGTGAAATACTAAAACTTCAAGTTAGAGACAATGCAACATCAATAAAAAAGTTAAATAATTCCATTCCATTTGAGATTCCAACATAAATCAAGCATAAACATGGATAAACATTCCCCAAAAGAGTAAGATTTACTTGAATGAAAATGAAAACAGCACAGACTCACATGATAAGCTAAAAACTCTTTTCAGCCATTAAAAATTAATTACTTTTAAGCAGTGACATCACTGCCATTGAATATAAAATTGGACTGAACAATGGAAATTAAACTGGGATATCTGTGTGGATAGCGCATGTGCCTGGAGGCGATACACTTTATAGGGAAAGTTTTTATGACATTTTTATGACTAAATGACCAATCAGGTGTAAGTACAGCTAACAAACGCTTACCCAAAAGCAAAAATAAATTGCTATTTTATGATGTCTGTTGGGTTTCAAAATTATAATATGGACTAAAATTCACTTGTTAATAAATGATATGAATTCAAAATACTGTTAAGAGAAAACTAGGTATAAAGTAAAATAATGAAAAATAAGGTGTCAATCAATAATTATCCTGACATAAGATCACCATAAAAAATTTTAAACAAGGTCACATATTGCTACAAACAACATTTGGTTCATGTATAACACTATTAAAAACAAAGTTGGTTCCATGTGTGGCAGGAGTTATGCAACATCTCACAATTTAGGTTAACTGGGTCAATATTACGTGACAACAGGGCAGACAATGGGGAGATTTGAGACAAAATGAAAACAGGTAGCCAACACTAGCAAAAGCTCCATTACCACATAAACAGCACAGTAATAAGTAGCGAGCAGACGTCTTTCACTTTCACTCACCTGGTTCCTGCTTGATGTTATTGACCATGCTATTGTAGCCCCCCATTTGCTGCAGCATATTACCATTTACAGTCCCGTTAGGAGAGTCGGAAAATTTCCTCTTCTTGTTGCCATGGTTGCCAGTGATATTATTCATACTAAAATTTAAAAAAAAAGTTTGTCAATACAAAAACTTGTTACATGAACCTCTAATCACTTTATTCTAAGAGAAGTTACGGCTAATATGCATTGCTTAAACAGAATCACAACCAAAAACATTAGGCACCTGTTCACAAACAGTAATAAATATTCCTTTAGAACCAAATAAATCCTTAAGGAAGCTAAAACACCACCGCATATCATATCATGACATTAGTTCTTGCTACAATTATTATGCATCTTCACAAAACACCACAACTCATGTTACTTTGGCACATGATGTTACACCAAATTCAAGAAAGCTGCACAATGTTCTGTTCATCATCATGTACTACCTCCAGCTAAATATGAGAGTTCATCTCTTCTAAGGAATTGAGAAAGTGAAATAATTCTTCACATAGCTTTCAATTACATTTGATATGGCTTTAATGGTGGTGGAGTAATTTCACTGGCTGTAGGTGTAACTTACTGCCTGACACCGAGACAACATAGACCGCTTTAGATCAATAGTAGTGAAGGATAGCTTTCTACTTACTAACATTACCAGCTGAATGAAATTTGCCTCTGGCCTCTAAAAAGGCGTTATGCATTTCTCATAATGGTAATTAATATCTAATGAAGTTTTACTATAATGACCTGGACTAAAACTAAGAACTCATTAAAAGGCATCTTGTGGCATGACTTCTGGGACGAAAAACTCCAGTTTAATGCCTCAGAATTACAGGTATTCACATTAAGAATACAACTTCTCCAACAAAATGAAATGTCAGTTGAGATTTTGTTAATCGCAAGAGGATAATTTCTTATTACTATTACCAGTTGTAATCTGAGGTTTTGTTACATAAGCACCCTCCCCTAGGTTCAACTAATGTTCTCTGAGTAGGCTCCGTGGTATTCTAGAACACTGTAATGACTATACTTAGGTGAATTTCCAATGCATACATGAGGGAAAAGAACTGATGCATTCAGGTTAATAGTGCCTATAAGGATATGATGGTAATGCATTACCTTTTAAATTTGGTTTACTATTAGATAACTATTATATAAATGGTAATTACCACATGTATAACAGGTAAGATATAACAATGCTTAACTACAAACTATTTTAGTACTTACAAAAAAAAAGTATGAAACAAGGGACCAAAATTTTTAAGAAAAAAAAAATCTAAATGTCGTTTGATTTACACCAATTTCTTTGGATAGTCCCTACAAGTTTTAAAACAAACTGGTTATAGTCATCCATGTTTACATACTCTAACACCTGTTAAAGAGAAAAAAAAGAAGATGAAAGGACCGACGACTTTTCCCAAAGTGGCGGTAGGAGTAGTAAAATGGTGATGTGGTTGTTGGTGCAGTCATCTCCAAGGCCACAGTAATGTATTATCTATCTAATACACAATACACTGCCAAGAGTTCCACTACCTCAGAGTCACAATGTATGGCAGACTTCACAAATCATCCGGAACATTCTGACCAGATTACTCATAGTGCCTGAAGTTGGAAGTTACACCAGCTACATCAAAATCTCTCACTGAACTTGCCTGAATTTTTAATTTCTGCTTTTATGGCTCATCTTAGAACGTTTTGTCTAATTTATTGTTATCTGATCAAAACTAATGTTCACCAAAATTCCCTATTAAAATGCCAGTATAGAAGCTACCAGCTATATATCAGAAGTACCACAAAAACAGTCACATAGGCTCTTACCCTTGACTTGTGTCACAAGGAATTGGATCATGTGAAATGATCATGCAGAAAAAGTGGAATGTTACATATACAACAAAAAACAAACACAAAAAAATAATATAAAAAATTTGAATTAGTGATCCCCACCCCCCACAAAAAAAAAAAAAAATCATCTTGAAAATCATAGAGAAAACTAATCTTACCTTGAATAGTGTGGCGGCAGAGACTGTAGGTTGATCTGTGCCATGGTTGCAGGGTGCTGTGGTGGCAGGTGGTTCAACTTGGGGGGTTCATGATACCCCTGGTACGGCTTACTGTGGTCCACTGGGGGGTGGGGAGGGCAGTAGATGGGGGGAGGGATACTGGTCATACCACTGACAATGCTGACCTTGGAATCTGGAAGACAAAACACAAGGAACTATAACTTTACAAACCAAGCACAAACACCTCCCACAGCCTTCATACCATCCAGGGCTCTTGGATGAAAAATTTAAATTAGGATGAAAGCTTAATCTTGAAAGCTGAATCTCAGATTTATCACTGAAGTTCATCTGAGGATATCAAACGTTAAAATCACAAAGATGTGTATGCTGCCCATAATTCATCTCCTGAATTTTCTACTCCACTTCTCCATCTTCAAATGTGTCAACCACTTATATATCCTTTACTTGAACTAGGAGATTCTAATATTTTTGAATAAAAGTCTGCAATTTCCACACCTGTCAATTCAGGGCTACTACAACCTGACCTCACCCTTGTTTGAGCAACCCAGACATACACACAACAAGATTATACCCAATAAAATAGGAATCAATTTGCCTAATGGATTCTTCATAACCTCCTAGATAATCATCAGCCCATCCTCATTATTTGAGACAATGCTGAGTGCACAGGAGTAAGCAAAACTATAAATCAGCCTTGTAATACAAACTGGTTCTACTGCCGACCTCAAGCATGAACAGTTCATCAATCATTACCTTGATGCAAAAAGTTTTAAAAAATCACAAAAATGCAAAATAACAATGAGTTTTTCTAAAGCTAATTCACACTATCACTTAGCTTAATTACTATAGAAGCACTATATATACAAAAGAAGCTTGCAGCTCTGGACAGCATAACATGTTTTTACAACTATGCTCTTGAAAAAAAACTGAAAAAACAAAAAAACAAAAAAACAACCATTATTGACTCATAATAAAATATAAAAAGAAGGAATTCAAAGAGTAAATTACCCAAGCCAGGTCTAACAGCCAGTGAGAGGGGAGCGAACATCATGACAGCATGGCTGATGGACACGTGAAAGCAATTTTTCCAAACAAAAAAATGAGAAATAATTATCCTCTTGACAATCTATGGCTCTTTGTGTTAAGGAATTACTATTCCCATAAAATTAATACTTCAATTTTAGCCAATCAAATTGCCGTGGGTCACTCAAGCCTTCTGGGATGTGACATCTCACAGGAGTTTATAGCTGGGAACCTGAATTTACTTTTTATCACTTTTTATCACTCCTCTAAGAAGATTCCAGTGACTGAAAAAAGTGCAAAATCTTCATCTAATACCATTCCTTAAATGAATCCACCCAAATGTAGGGAAAACAAAATACATCCAGACGTCTTTTATGGTTTACTAATTCCTACTGTTCATTATCTGCCACACTTTTACACCTGCTCTCCATGTTATTAAAATTCTGCAGCATATCTCCACTGAATAAAAATGTAATGGAATCCTTAGTTTTGTTTATCCCAAGTTTTTAGCTCCCAGCAACCTGTATCTGTTAACCTTACATTCATAGAAGCAGCGTTTATAGTAAAGACGTGGTAACAGTAGTAGATGTAGTAGTATTAGTATTGAGTAGCCTGTCGTGTAGTTTATCCTGCAGGAATATGACCGATCTACCATGCACATATAGCTCCAGCGCAGATTACACGACAGATGCAATTTCTTGTATTATGAGTTTAATGGGTAACGCTCAGTCCATGGTACCGCCTGGGCCTGAACATGGCGAAACCAACCAGTGCATAATATATCTCCCCTGGCAAAAACACAGGTACGCTGCATCAGGGCAAGGTGAGAACCAGGCCTTGGAGAGATTTCCAGAGATTTTAACTTGAGGCTTCTCAGTGAAGTAATTAAATGGATGTTAATTGAGCAAACAATAGAATGAAGTGTTGATGAGTGTGAAACAGAATGTGTCTCCTTCAGTACACACTTTGATGTGAACCATTTCTCTCCTATGTTGACTATGCCCCTTCATTGAAGCTATGGATGCACAGATTGAAAAATTGTATCACTGTTTTACAAATGTATAGATATACTAGAAAGAAAGCTGCACTGACATAGCAGAAAATGCTGTATAGACATAATATATGTCTATATTCACAAAAATACCTCATGAAACTTAGTGCAGTTATGGAATTGCTCATGCTTGACTATTATTATTATTATCATTATTATTAAAATCATCAAAATTATTATTATTATATCATCAAAACTGTTCAGCACAAATAACAATAAGAGGTGGAGGTTTCCTTGTTAAACTGGTAAACATGACACATTACCCATGCTGTTAACACTTTATCCTTTCTCAATAAACCTAGTAATTCAAGGTGAACCCTTAGAAATATCAATTTTGTCATTTTTTTTTTAAAGTAGATCTGTCCTAAAATCCGAGCTCCTGTGTCTGTAAGGGGTAACTTATCAGGCCTGTCAATCTCTTTTCTCTTTTTTCATTTCATTTGCAAAAAAAAAAAAAAAAACTGCCTACTTTTGAAAGAGGTATGTTATCTTGAGAGTGCATCAACACAACCTGTGATGTTTTGAAATGTTCACTTCTTATCATCATCTACTGGAGTTGTGGCAGTTTTCAAACAATAAGCAAGTACAGTTATATAGCTCCAAGGTAGAATTCTGTTTTCACAATAAGACAGAAACATTTCTACTTTCTCTGATAACATTTGCACTGATACGTGCTGCTGGAGGCAAAATGTAACTGTTTCTCCTATTATATTCTAAAAAATATTTAACCAAGGAAGTATAACTTTTCTTACTTTTCCTTTTCTAACTTACTGGAAATTAAAGAAACATGCAACACATCAAAAAATGTGTACCTTTACCAAAATCCAATTATCTTAGGTTGAAGGACTATGAGTTCCCCTGTTTTCACTAATATCCTTATCTTTCCCTAAACTCTTTCACCAGGCACTAATATCCCATCCATTGCCATTTACCCTTCATTTCCCCACATGAAAGAAAAATTTAATAACAAAAGCAGTATGGTCACTACCTGCATTACTTTTTGCTCTGGTACTTTTAAGTGTTCACGACCGGTGTAATCGGCCATGGTGTCGTGAGCCCCCTGTACCACGCAGTGCCAAAATGTTCCCATTATGTCCACAACCTTTCACATACTGCATAAAATGTCAGTCTGTTTTCTATTCATTTCCCCATGGTTAATAATTTACTGCATTAAAGTGTTAAATGGTATATTCCTTAGGTTCAACAAACATGTTATAAGTCATATCCTGTTTACCTTCTTCTATTTTGACATAATAAATATATATATTTTGTAAACGAAAAAAGATATAACAAAAATCAATAAAAAATTAAAAAAAAAACAACAGTATAATGCACTGAAAACAGTTTTTTAATACAAACAAATGTTTTAAAGTCTAAAGAAAGTGAGGATTGTTTTATACTCTTTTTCCCCTTTCCATGCCCATTTTATTTGGAGAACTAACAAAACCATTTCAAACAAAACTGCAACACTCAGTCCCTATGTATTTGTTGATGATCTCTGACAGAAATTCTGTTCTGACAGGTTTATGATAACTGACATATGTTCTTATTTCTAAAGCACAAATTGTGTAACATTCCAAAGTTGTCCATAACCATCCATGCTACTCCCCCTAAAATATGATCTAAATCAAAGTAATCAGAAACTGAAGACATTAGTGGAACTCTGCCCCTACTAATTAAGAAATCATAAATAAAAGATGCAATTATGATATCAGTAATAGTAGTAATAGTAGTTGAAGCAGCAGTAGTAGTAGTAGTGACAACGACAACAACAGCAACCACAAGTCAGCTTCTACTGCCATTCTTTCCCTAAAAAGCTCATTAATTAATACACAACAACACAATAAGTAATAATAAAAATCAAAATGGGAAAAGCATTCAGTTTACCTGGTTCCAGTCTGTGGGGGTAGCCATTGCTCTGGTTACTGCCTGGTGGAGAGTATGGCTCTGAACCCGAGTCTGGGGGACTGTCTGGTAATGTGCTGGAAAATAAACAGAAAAATATTAAAATGTATGGACCTTTGGTTTAACTTATGTCTGAATAAGATACATCTATATTTTCTATAATGTAGAATAAGGTAGTACAAATATCAAACAAATATCTGATGGTGATTCCAGTAATAACCATTCAATTCACTCCTATTTCACAATTCTTACGAGAAAATAAAAGTACAAATAGGTAAAAAAAGAGGAAATGATGTGAAGACAGGGTGGCAATAATATACGTTATGAAAATTTTTTTTTAAGTTTCTTAAACAGTACAACATTATTGACATCAACAATGCATCTGCCTTTATCTCTGTCAATACTCTGTCCAGGACATGTAAAATGACTCATAGCTGCATCACTAAAGGGGCGGGGGGGGGGGGGGGGGGGGGGTAACACAAAATACTCTCAACTAAGAGACACAATGTCCACCTGGGCCACTCAACAACTGATGAAGATGGTCCATGGCAATATCTCATGTGAGTAATTTTACATTTTGTGACAAAAGAGAATTTTAACTACTGAAACAAACAGGCCATTTTAGGAGAAAAAAAAAACAGCACCTATATTGTTTGAAAATTTATCAAAACTTAAAATTACTTTAACGGGAACTAATATCAGAAAAGTGTTAAAAATTTTTTTTTAATATAAATACAATCTGATCTTGCAAAAAAAAAAAAAAAAAAATTAAGGCATTTTGAGAAATTATCATTTGAAGTCAGAATGCAAAACAGAAAATGAAGAAGTGCCACAGAACCTTTTCACCAATGTACCCCTCAATTGTGACATCTTTATCTGTCAGAAGTATCTACATGCCCCTGCCCTTCATGTTCATTCCTAACTACGTGGTGAAGCTGTGACTTGCAGAGACTGTCACCATACATTTTACTGGGTAGGGGCAGTGCTTTACTCCATGATATATAGGGCAGAAATGATAACAAGTTATCTCCTAGACCATCTCGAGCCTGAAAGTGGTTCTCTTTGATATGTACACCCATTGTTTTTGCATACGGTTGAATTCGGTGAAACGATTAACTGAGCAATTTAAGTAGCATTTGCCTTTCTATGGTCATTAATCACAATGAAAAAAGCCAAAAATTTGTTTTTTTTCATTAAGAGGTGAAACAAATAAAACAAAACATTTTTTGGAAAAAATTGAAAAAAAAAAATATGTAGTAAATCCTTTCTAAATATTTTTCAAAAATTCATTTATCAATGGAAATAGGAGGAGATAGTGGGAATTGCTCATGCACTGTCTCACTGTTGATAATATACAATATTCTAAAAATGTTATTTTTTTAACAATCAAATAATAAAAAACATGATAAAAAGTCATTTCATTTTTTTCTTTATCATTAAATTATTATTTTATTATTCAAAAGTATACTGCCCATGGGTTAAATGTCCCAGTCAAATTTTCTTTGTGTACGTATCCTGCTAAATTATTCATATTTCCCAATTTAGACTTTTAAAAGCCTCAAAGTTCCTGGTGTTAATATTTTCTTTGAAATGTACAGAAATGAACTTGCTAGTTATCTAAAACTAAATTACAGAAGAAGAAATGATATCAAACATCCATTCAGTGTCCAGAGATGGGGCAAACTATGACTCAGGAGCTAGATTTTTTTTTCAACGATTGCTCTTTTTTTTTTCAAATTCAATCTCATTGAATTTATCTTTTTTTCTAAAAATAAAAACTCACTGTGTCTTAAAACTTTTCTCAAGTCCTTCAAGAGACAATTAAGTGGGCTCAGTCCTTTTATCTAAAATTTGTTCTCTGGATTCTTATTGTCAATAAAATATTCAAGGACTTCTAAATGTGACAAATCAATTACAATTCATCCCCACTTAAAAAAATCACAACTTATAAAAGTAACTTCAATCCAAATATTTCTGAGAATAAAAAGGAACCAGCAAAAGAAAAAGGAATATGAACCATTAAGCAATAAAAGCCCCACTTACTGTTGATATGTATTATTTTTGTAGTCAAAGCCATTGTGTGTGTTCTGGAAGCTATTAATGGAGGTGACAGGAGGCTGAATATGGCTGTGTTGTCCATGCTGACCGTGCTGGCTGTGATGACCATGTCCTGGCAGTTTGTTCGATTTACTAAGATCCATACTGTGGTCTACTGCATGGGCATTGGTCAGTACTCCTATAGCATCTTCCAAACTGTGAAAGAAAGAAGTGAATCACATCAATCAACACGAAGAAAAAAAACCCTGTGAAACTACTCTACAGATGAATGAAACTAGACATGCAAAAATATATAACAAATAAATATTTCAAAATTATGAAGCAACTGAAATGAACAACATGCCAAATGTAGCAAATAAAACAAGTTTCTTTCACAAGAGAAATGACTGGTTACTAACACCTGTAACTAATACTAAAGGTCTGTTTCATGGAACTCCAACAACCATGTGTATTTGTAAAGTTATTATCAATTATGGTCTCACATTATGTAGTGCCTTGCACAGTTTTGACTGGCATACTTTCTGTATTATGGAAAACTTGACAGTGCCAAGCCGGTACTGGCACCTCGACATCTGGCTATTTCTAACAGATTTATACGTCATGGCTTTTCTACTTATAAAAACTCAAACAGCAAAAATCAATGGGTCTGTAAACAGACTGAGGTGCTTAGGGCTGATTGAGACATAGGCAAACACAGTATCTTAGAAAAGTACAACACATGGTATTTGACTTTCACGCAGATTTATGTCAGAGTGGAGGGCCATTAGAAATTGTTTCCAGACAATCAAAATATTTTTGTGCCAAAACTCTGACTTTTCAAGCAACCCTCACGTTGCATATTACAATTCTGTAACTGGTGATAACCTTTTCCTTTTTTTCTATTTTATCATTTTATTTTTTATTTTTTGTTTTGAAAACACAAGCTTATAACATCACATTTATTTTGGTAGAATTCACATGATAAACATTATAAATACTATGATTGTTTAGTTCACAAACTTTTTCCTCCTTTGTCTTTTTTTATACCTCGTCAATATTATTTCGTTGTATTGTTTAAAAATATAACATTTACTTATTTTAATCATTGATTTGAAATGCAAAACATAGATTATTGTGGATTATAATCCATAATTGAAATTTTTGATAACATATTTCTAAATTTTAATTTTTTAGACTACAAATTAAAAGTGCTTATTCTAAAAGCACAAGAAACCTTACTCAATACATGGACAAGTATATATTATAATATGTCAATTCTAACTACAATTCATTTAAGATTAATTCTCAAAGATTATCAATGTTTTCATAAAAAATTCATATTAAGAAAAAAAAAAGCAGAAATAAATATTGAGGAACAATCATGAGAGGTATTTTTCAACAACCATCTTTTCTATTTTGAAGCTTTTTATCAAAGTTTTGAATTCCATTCTATATAAAAATTAATTCATTTACTAAACAAGACCCTCTTAATTACAAAATCAATACCTAATACAACATTCTCTCCCACACAGTGATAGAGACAAAAAATCATTACTACCAACCAAACAACTAAACACCTGACTTACTCAGCAGACGGGGATTCGGTGGCGTTTCAAACTCTCACAATTCCAATAAGAACGTATTTTAATGAGAGAGAGGTAATATGAGGGAAAAGTGCGCACTGGATGTCGATGTAAAGAATGGACATTCCAGCAGACGGCAGGTCTATCCCACCTTGCCACCACCAGCACAGGTACCTGGTACACACGGACACCTGTTGGAAGAAGATGGCGGTAGGAAGGAAAGACATACATAACCAATCCCTTCTAGGGCTTGAAAAACTTAGCTAACTTTACACCAGATTTGTCTTTACTTTGAGTAAACATGCATTTGGAAAGCTTACCTGTATCTACCAGTCATATTCCTATCAAACTGCATCATGATGTCTGATATTATTAGGAATTCATTGGACACAAGCAGGGTGCTGTGGAGCACTCAATTCTGTATGCTAATTCTGAGTGGGGTCCCAAAAGGGGGGCGCACTTTAAGATGTTGTTTCTAGCCCCACTTGACAAAATAATTAGCTTTAAGGCTTTGCATGCTTATTTCCCACTAAACCAACATGGATACCTATTCATCAAGGCAATGGTCATTAGCTGGGGTAAGAAGTTTACTTTCCTCGCTTGTGAACCCTCCCATTTGAACACCCCTTCTTTGCACCTATATGTACCAAGTACAGCTGAAATAGAATTAATAGCCGTCATCAAAAGGGCTGAATACCAGGGCCTGTTGGCACTAGTCACAGTGCATTGTTCAGCACACCTTAATTACAGAGGTGATGGCACCGCGGCTGGGCCCTCTTCACACACAGACTACCCACACCACAACTCTATGGCTGACTTCTCAACTTTCAGCAGAAAGTTTGACTTTTTCTGAGTTTTGAGTTATCATGAGGTTACTTCATAGCCACTGGGAAAGGAAAACAGACTATTTTTTGTTCAAAATATTATTTTTTTTCAGTGTTTACACAATGAAAAATGATATTATAATATAAAATATTGTACAAAAGTTAACATATTAAATAAACATCAATAATGTAGTAAAAAAAATCAATATGTAATATTTTTGGCATTTCGAGATATATTTGCCAATAAAGATTTTCTTTCAGAAGTGTTAAGAGTCTCTGGCAAATGAAGTCTTTACCTTCTCCTACATTCACTTCAAATTGTGCAATTCCCAATATTTAAATAAACAAGGCTTGTTTATTCAGAATAATAATAAATTTCCTTTCTTCATGAATTGAATTTATTTAAAAATTGAATCAAAATGCAACCATGCGGGTTTGATTTTCAGCATATAACCAACTCAATTTAGTTTGTTACGTGAACAATTTCTGTGGCCTAAGAAAGACTGATTAGGATATTTTTTTAACGAAGCTGATTCAACAATTAAAATAAGTGGCGGACTGGCTGATTATTTTCTTGGTTCCACAGTGTAAGGCTGGAGAATGGCACAGTCAGTACTGTGATTGTTGACCTGGCAGAGAGGAAAGAACGGCTTGGATGGAACCAGGATTTTCACCATCGAGAAGAATTTTATCTACAATGATATAGTGTTCAGAAATGGAGTAGGTTTAATAATTTTCTGCAAGAGAGTGACTGAATTAGGATATTCAAATTTATTCAGTCAGTGCTTGTTACAGTTTTGAGATTAGAACAAAATCAAGCTCACCCTTAAGGTAAGTCACCAGTCATGTTACCAAATTATGAATAGGTAATTTACACTTATTGCCATGCCTGACAATTTAATTAAGCAAGAGTAAACCATTGCTTTCATCTTAGCAAAAATAAGAATTTAATAACGACAAGAAACAAGAATGCCTGAGATGGTCACTTAGATATAGGTTGGGGTGAAATATACGATTGTCCTGTTTTTTAATAAGATGTATGTTGAGAAAAATCTTTGAATTCCAAGCGTGTTAAAAATTGGTGTCAACAATTGTTGTTCGGTCTTAATATATATGTCCTTAAGAAGCAGAAATGAGAATCATAGACATAAATATCAAATCTCTTTTTATAGGACAAAATTCAAATTTAAATTAGTGATGAATTTATAATTTATTTTTTATAAAAAAGAAAAGTAGCTTCTTATCTTCTTCTCCAGCAAAATTAATCAAAAACACACATTACAAAAAAAAAAAAAAAAAAAAAAAAAAATTATCCAGAAACGTCTGTGAATATTAAGTAACAATCAATCAGTGACCCTGGTAGAGGGAAAGAAATTACTGGCTTTTTCTCTATGAGGGCAAAAAGAACAGCGGGCAAACAGATCCGCGGATCAAATATGGCCGACCCACTTGAATGTTTGTTGCGTAATCCCCGCGGGGCACATAATCAGTGTCTATTCGGGTAATAAGCNAAAAAAATCATCTTCTTCCTTGGTAAACTTAATAAAAAGCATTAAATAAAAATTATATAAAATAATGGATTAAAAAAGTAATAAAAATATGTAAAAATCCAAACAAATTCTTTATGAACTCTTTTAGGATGTTTTGAAATTGAAAAAAAAAAAAAAAAAAAAACTCTTTAAAGTAAGCACAGTCTGATCTTTTTAAATTTATGTTAAAACTTAAGGAAATCCCAAATAATATTTCCAATTTTAAAATATAATTTTAAATTGTTTACCACCATTTTTAGTCTTTAAAGGGTGCCTAAATGGTTGAGGAAAAGAATAACAAGGAGTATCCTGCCCTTTCTATAATATCTATTAAAATGGTAGCTGACATGCACACCTGTGATTATATTTCCAGGTGAGTAACTAGTGCTGCTGTCTCCTGGCACCATGGTCGCGCGTTTCCTGCTAGCCATGCTAATCAGCCAGTAAAACAATATATATCTGTACACTGCTGACCTCTACAGGTAGAATATTAAAAGTTATTTTATATATCTGGTAAGACAGTCAGGTAAACAGGGTTCTTGGTTGAGGTAATAGACTATTGTTGACAGGTAACATAAGACGGAGGTAGAGCAATATGATGGTTATATTAATGTCATTTTTACAGGCACACAATATATATCCAACCTTTATATAAAAATATGTATGTTTTCTTTATATTTCAATACTTTTCCCTTAATCACTGATGAATTTCACTTGAATGACAAATTTAGAACTTGAGAAAGTGTTTATCAACAGATTGTATTTTTTTTAAACAGTTTTAGATAGGGTATACTGTTGGTGATAAAAAATGCTCAAACTATCATTGTAATTAATTTTTTCCTCAATTTTTTACCATATAAAGGTCTAATGAACATCTTAAAATGACAGGACTCCAGCTTTCACAAAGTTTTAAATTTACATACAACAACTGTGAGATTCTATCATTCATAAATACTGGAAGGAAAATAAAATAAACATAAATTATTTCAAAGTCAAATAAAATGAAAATGCTAATACCAATATCTTAACAAAAATATCTTTTGGATGGTTAAAACCTATGTCAAATCAACTGGCCCTAAAACATTTTCAATATGAAATATATAGACAGCCTTGAAAGTGTGAGTTGCAGTTTAATACAACTACTTATAATAAAATATATTTGGGTAGTTAACTAGATGGCTTGCTTTAATGTCACAATTTAAAATATAAATAAGAATCAACCATTCCATAGCTTACTAACACCTGGAGAAAAATTCTGGATCAGCCAGAGATGTGCCTGGCATATATAATCAGCAAAGTAAGTGATTAAATTCTTTAATGCTATAAAGGGAAAGCTGCAATATATCATTTCACAACATTAATTTATCTTCTTCTAATGGTAAAGAATCACTATACACGGAGCAGCCCTAAATGGTTTTCCCAGTTTAATAAGGTCCTCCATTGCTACAATTGTGCAGGACACATTGTGTGGATGTGCTGTTCACATCCTGACACAATCACTGTCTCACCTAACACAACACTGGACTATTATTACCAGCAGTAGGTACAATTTGTTCATTTGTACATTTTCATTTATAATTCTACACGTCTTACATTTTGAAAACTAAAAAAGAAATAACATGCTAATTATGTCCTCATTCAGTGACTATACTTATTAAACTTTACATTTTCACCATTAAATGCAATAAACATCATCTATGGTGGGGAGAAGAATGAGTAATCACCTCCTACTAGCAGAACTAAGAACAGCCCGCCAAGACTGAAAAATGAAGTGATAGAGGTGTGCTCATCTCTAACTTCAGCTAAAACTGCCAAATAAAAATCACCAGCCCAGAATCATCTATTTTAAGGATTCTCATGCAAGGTCCATGAGTCTTGCTAACCCTATTTTTATTGAAGCTTGAAATTCCTCTGAAAACATTCTGCCCCCTCAAAAAGTCCTGAGATTTTACCACTGGATTCTAAAGCATTGTAATTCCAATACTCTGGGTAGCTAACCTAATATGTGCGTGTTCTCCTTATATAAAAATCAATGCACTTGACCAAAATTTCACATGGCACTACCTGTCTCATTTTGGTTGTACAACCCACTTCTTTGTATCCCTAAAAGGAAAACCAATATTTTTTTGCAAATGTAAATGTGATCTTTTGCACTTAAATATCCAGACAGTGCATAACAAGCTGTTTACATCCAACCGTTGTGTCGATTTCTCTCAGCAGACGTCTGTACTAACAAGACTGTTACATACTGCTTTTTTTCATCCTATTAACAGTGACAGGACAGGCCTCAGTTTCTTGCATGACCACAAGATGTCAGCACTTTCACCTGTGCTATGAATATAGCCTTTGCATGACTGTCTCATTGCATGACAGCAATACCAGTACCAATTTGCCCAAGTTCTATTTGTTTAAGATCAGCCAGGTTTATCGGCCCTTTGGAAATATCAAACAATTACAACAGAATACTATTTTATGAGTTCAGTAGTAATCCATTGATTTCAACAACTGGTAGCAATAATTGTACTGAGAACAGATATACAAATCACCACAATGATTTTAATAGGTACTTTTCTATGTATAACAGGCAGGTGATTGGTGTTACTTCTGAGTATGACATGGAGGCTTGCATTTTTGGTTTTTGTATCACTCTACTTAGAAAATCTTCAATTTGTTGGAGTGTTGAAGGCAACCTACAGATCATGATCACTTCAAATAAACTCTTGGATACTATAAAGAATGACAGAATACATCTGAAGGGAGACTAAACAAAGAGGCCATCTCTGAACTTACAAACTTACAATGTTCAAAATGTCAGTCTTTATAAAATTACGTACTAGTATGTCAATCTGGATTAAATAGGTTTTATTTACATGCTGTCTATATAACTAACCAGAACTTTTCTGTTCCACATTTTATATCAAGCCTCAAAACATGAACATGTAATGCCTGTAGCCAGGAATTTCAGGGGGATGTCCTTTTTCTAAATAGTGGACCTTTTCATCAAGAAACCTACTTCAAATTTTTGATTCAGAGTACACCTCTTCCCAGTCAAAAGGGTGGTTCTTTTGAAACTCCAATGCTTGCAAGCTTGCATATTTAAGTCAGTAATTCACTCGCTGTCTTACTGAGGTCCAGAGAAATGTACTCATATTGCAAGTCACAAAGTGGATCAGTTGTTGGTGTTGTGCACATTAATCAGGGTGACTTTGATCTGTTTTTCACCACTAAACATTTTCTGTGAAGATTAAATTTAATTATATTCTGTTGGAATATTTTAGGAAGCATGGCAAAAATCATTCTAAATAAATAAATAAATAAATAAATAAATAAATAAATAAAAAGTCATATCTGTAGTTCAAATGAACATCAGAAATTAAAATAAAGTTATGTTTTTCTTAAATTTTAACATTCCATATTATAAAAAAAATACTTCTTGGACCACTTGTTGTATGTTATCATGACGACACTATTACCACTGACGCCTATCACGACTCGGAAGTATTTAGTTTACTAGGAAGTTACAATAACTCAATCCAAATGGCCTCACATGCAATATATTATGTTACAAATTGTAATCCTTTTAATATAACAGGTCATGTTCATCTGGTGTCCCGGAACCACAGGGGGAAAAATGCTTCCCTATCTGCCTTTATTACCTTTAAATAACAGCATCTTTTAAAATTTTCAGTTATTCCACTTTAACAAATACCAATGCAGACAAAGTCACATTTAAATTGAATATGTATGGACTGCCATTTTTCGCATAATATGACCTGTAGATTTGTTTACAAGAATATAAATTTGTAAAAGACTGCATGGTATTTTCCTCGGGTCTCCACTCCTCCATACATTACTGCGTTTAAACACAAACACCCAGAATATCTGGCTGGCATGGCACAAAAAAAACTGTTTTTGTAATGAAAACAGAGGGGCAACACATTTTTTTTGTCCTTGTTTGTGACGGGATCAAACTGGTATTTATTAACGCAAAGTCACTGAAGAAGAAAGGTCATACATATGGTGTAAACACTAAGCAACACACTTTGTCAAGGGGTCTGATATATAACAGCTAGAAATGACTTCATACTCATGATACTGCTATGTCATGTCAATGGTAATAAAAGCTGGAGCAAAGTTAAACAATTGTGTGCTGACTGTCTATCTGCTCAGACGCACTAAGTATAATCATGTCATATAAAGTACAGGTAGGCAAAAACTGTTTCACATTATCATTATCGTAAACTATAGCCTTAGAGGAAAATCTAATTTCATGCTGGTATCACACTTAATATCTTAATATCTTACGCTAATGGACATTTTTTAAAGATCAGCAATGTTTTGGTTTCCATACACTGAACAATGTTTTTTTTTTAAACCAGTCACATTTTAGAATGAATGGATGAATGGGCAGATGGAGAAAAGGATTGTAAACCATACTTACACATTAGCATTTTCACCATTGATGAAATCTTCTAGCTGAGAAAAATCTAAGCCTTCATTATCAATTCCCAGCTCCTTCCCTAAAAAGTAGACAAAAATAAAATACATATATAATTAGTTAAGCATCGATAATAAATGCATATTTCTATTTTTATAACATGTATTAAAATATCTCACCTACTAATCAATATTTGTGTTTTGCCTAGTAGTATCACATCTCATTATCCACCTCACTGTTACATCTACCACACTGTTACATCTACCACACTGTCACATCTACCACAATACAATGCCTTATCTACCATACTGTCACATCTACCACAATGCCTTATCCACCACACTGTCACATCTACCACAATGCCTTATCCACCACACTGTCACATCTACCACACTATCACATCTACCAGAATGCCTTATCCACCACACTGTCACATCTACCACAATGCCTTATCCACCACACTGTCACATCTACCACACTATCACATCTACGACATTCTCACATCCACCACACTGTCACATCCACCACACTGCCATATCACACTGCATGGTCATATCCACCAGTGTGACATCCAGAATAATGTCACATCTATCAAGCTATCAATTCTAACACAATGACAGATTCATCACTGTAAATCATTCTTTAACTGATATGTTAATCTTACCCCAACTTTTTAAATTAAACAACAAAACACCCTTTTGGATATGCTCCATGGCCAGTTAGCCTGCAGATAGCCAAAAGGTCAAATTTTTATTTTAAAAAATATATAATTTAAGTAAGAAGATGAAAACTAAATTTAAAAAAAATGAAAATTAAAGTGAAAATTTACTATGAACATCTCTGTCATCTGACATCTACATCTAATAACACACAGAAAATGACCTCAAAACTACTTTGCCGTGTGCTGACTGGGGTCAAGTGAGAGGAAAGGTAGAGCTTAGGTTTATAAAGGTATTCTTATTATCAGAACTGAGTTGTAGTAAACTAATGCAATCAGTGAAAAGTTGATACACATCATGATCAATATACAGAACAAAACAAACACATTTGCCTTAGGGATATCTATTTCAGCATGATGATTTATAGTTATTGGCAGTATAACTGGCCATACAGTGATGATACATACATGAACAAAGTGATGCACACTGCTCTTCATGTCAAACATGTATGTTGTGCTGATGTTTTTTAAGATCATTAAAGGCCATCATCTCCTGACTTAGCATAAAATGAAGCCAAATTTCTTGGGTCAGAAATAATGGCAGTCTAGTGAGTGCTGTGGTATGACAATAAACACAAGCTGACAGAATTTATCCTTTACTATTTTTCTGGTTATTTTTTCACAAGTTCAGTGGAAATTACAATTTATTGCACAACAGTTCGAATTCACCATGGTTTTGGTGTCATTTCTGTATTGCATTTCCAGTACATAGAATTTCACACTTATCACCGATATTAAACTCCATCTCAAACTGATTATGACAGATATTCCAGTCTTGTACGACAAAATTCACTCAGTGCCAAAGACCTTATTTTGGTTGTCCCAGGCTGATTGAGATTCAAGGGCACAATAAACAGTATATATATATATATATATATATATATATATATATATATATATATATATATATATATATATATATATATATATATATGCTGTAAAATCATGACAGGACGAGGAATGTTGGAATCCAACATTAGGTAACCATTTAACTCACAACTATATACATTATACTTGCAGATATATTTTTCCATTGCCCAGAGCCTCACCTGGGTCATATTCCTGTCATACTAGGGTAGTAATAGACCCATATTATATTTGGTTACAGGTATTCAGTAGCCTTGGACTGCTTAATTGGTAACACAGAGTTGAACAATAACGAGGCATTATCTAATCATCCAGTCCAATCACGAATGTCACTCCCAGCCTTTGGCTGCCATAATGTGAACCAACGTACAGGAATTCACTTTTGTGTCATCTTACATGGTCACGATTTCTTTTGCTCAACAAAATTTATTTGGTGAATAGAATTTGTTAAATAGCACAAAAGATGATGGATATGGTAAAACACAGAAAGAAATGCAGGGGAGGGGCTTAAAGAGAATCATGGTTCAACCTGACACTCCCTGAGACAATTATATTTCTATATAACACCTTCTTCACCTGTCTACCAGCCAGGAACGTTAACACTATTGTGCTAGAAAAGGGGGTGGTCCCAACACTTGTTCAACAGCAGACCTGTTTGCTTACAAAACTGGTTGTCATTTAGGGGGGAAAAATACATGTGTCCAAATTCTGGTTGATGATATCTATTAAGTTGTCAGCTTGACCAGATAGTCTGGCTATAATGCACCAGACATTCTGCAAATTCTCTGTGAAAGCACTTGTTGCAAACATGCTCTAGGCTAATTCTTGGCACAAATATATGTCAAAAAAGTCAATAAAAAGATGTTGAGGTTTAGTTATTTAAGATCCTTCTCAAATTTTGACTGCCATCTTCCCATGTTCACAGACATCACTTTAAGATCATTGCCATACATACATTTTACGATAAGGAAGGTCTGCTGTCATAACAATAAACCTATTTAAATAAAACCATTACAATAAACATATAAATAACAATCTCAAAAGATACATATATCTTTTATAGCATACATTTTGGGGACATTCCATGTTTATCACCTCCTTCACATCATATTACTGATGTCTCCTATCAACTAACTCCTGATAGCCACAAATACTTAGTTTTTCTCTCTCTTTAGTTTCTCTCTCTTTTTAAAATGGATCTGAATACTAGTGCTTGGTAAATTCTGCAGGTAGCACAATACTATGGCATGGCCATTTTACTATCTAGAAGTTAAGACAGAGAGAGAGATGGTCTGCATGAGGAGATACAGTTGAATATTAAAATTCCCCCAGGGGGAGTTAGGGAAGAGGAAGAGCTGTCAGATATTATCCATAAACATTAATAAATGGACGACTGAAGAAGACAGTTAAGAAGATCATGTCAAGTGATAAACTTCAACTTCATAACAGAAGGTGAACAATGGAGCCACCTCGGCATAAACCACTGTCCTAGATTAGAAAACACCAAACGGATTAAATTTTCAGGAAATGTATTTGATAGCTGATATCAGAACTATGGCTATTAGATAGTGTGATGAAAAAAGTGTAAAAGCTTCAAAAGACAAGAAGTGTTCAATTTGACATTACACTTGCATAATAATGAGAGCTATGAAATAACACCAGTAAGCCACATAAAGTGACCACAATTTGAGTGTTTTTTAAACCACATGACATCACCACTTCCTCCTTAGTCACAGGTAGCATAGCACACTGAGGTAAAGATGAGGAGAGCATCCACCTGTAAAAAACTTCACTTGAAGCTATGAAATACAGACAACTCAGTAGTTCAGATTTAATTTCAGTAAGAAATGTTATCCTCCTGTTGGTCATATTTATAACCCAATTGTAGTATTGGTGATCTAGCAGGAATACCTCTGTTCAGTGCGGGCACTCAGTGCCTGCAAACATTCAGTTTAAAAACATGTACATCAAACTGGAAACCAGTGCTGGCAACCTGCAGTGAAAGGCCACACCAGATGATCATAACTCGTGCCCAAACAAATACTTCAAGCTCATAACTTTTCCATACCAGCATCAATGAAAGTTTGTTTTGACAATACGTTTTGAGTTAGATCTCACTGAAGATTATGCCATTTTTTTAACCTTTCATAAACTTACTTTCAGGCCTTACTCCCAAAATGGCTCAATGTTTTTCTTATAATCAAAAAATGACAAATATTTGATCTTATTTTATGATCAACATTTCTGGGAAACTATAAATGGCACTGTTCTGCCACTAGTGATTTATCATCCAACTATCATAGGTAAGAACAATTAAGTTCTTTCTCTACATTACACAGTTAATTTTTTAAACTTTTCTGATATCTATTACAGGCCAGTAGCCAGCAATTTCAAAAGGGGGTTCTTTTTTTGGAAAAAGTGGACATTTTACCATGAAACTTCATGAACCTAAATAAAACTTTACCAAGAGGAGACCTTTTCCCAGAAAAAGTGGCGCTTTTTCGAACCCCCCCCCCCCCCTGGCTACGGACCTGGGGCCTATCCTGATTAATGAGCCATTAATTGATGCATATGATACATATATTCAGAGTGAAAACTCTTCCATAGGACTACATTCCCTGCTGTTCTCTATAAACTTCACATGCTATATTCTGCAGATAATAATGTTATAATATAATTACAAAAGGAATCTCTTGACGCTACTACATCTTTTCTTCTGAAAAAATTAAGTCACCATGCATGGATTGAAATATGAAGACGGGTTTAATTATAACTGTTTGCATGAGCATTTGAGGGCTAACACTTTAAAGGAATAAAATGACTTTTTTCCAATCTATTGCTCAATACCAATGGCATTGGTTTTTTTTAATTATTATATGGGATAAAATCTAATTGTAAATGCAATGACTGTTTATATTTTACCATTTCTGTATTAATTAAAAGAGTAATAGAAATACTTATCAGCAAAACATGTAGGCATCACTGTTTTTAACTAATAAATCATAATATTGATTTAAGAAATGTCAAGTCTTATGGCTGGGTGAACTATCAAAATTCACTAATTCCATCTTTGATATTTATCTGCATTTCAATTCTACGCTCTCATAATTATGTCCACTGAAAACCATGCATTCACTACGTATTTGATTATCATCATCATCATCATCACACTACCTGGCAGCCAGAAACTGTTATCTAGCTCTCTCATCCAAGTCTTATCTTACATCATCTAAAATGAACTGTAAAAAACCTACGTACTAATAAATTACAGTAAGCAGATAGCCCCTTCTGCATAGTTGACTCAAAGTTTCTAAGGTATTATAATTAACAAACGAAGACTATAAATACAGCAAAATCTTTATTTTATGCAGTGTTTCCCCTGTTTTATATGATATGGAAGGAAATGCATGATCAAGTTGAGAGTCCGCTTTTAAACACGGCAAATATCTAAAAAATTGCCAAGTCAGAGTTTTAAGTAAAACTGCAACTGCTTAAAT